ATCTTGGATAATGTTGACTGAGGCTCCTAGAGGGTAAACTCCCCCAAATTGAGCAGAACAGAACCGTTAACATTACCTTAGAATGGCTTAGCTAACAGGCTAACCCCGGCTTAGCGAATGGTCAATTGTTTCTCGCAAGGGATGAAGGTGTTAAGCTGGTGGGATATTGTCTTGAGAAAAGCTTGTTTGCTTTTTTTTTAAAGTCATCAGAAATCTCTCGCCATTCATGTATTTCTTTTTCCTCTCCTACCTTTCTTTTACTTCCTTTGCCTCATTCCTTAATTTTCTCAGATTCATCTAAATTGTAAAATGTCATTTGTACTTCCCCTACTTCCCCTTATTGATCTATTTGTCATCTTCTCAGAACTCCTCATCTCATCTTTCCTCCTCTCACTACCTTACTTTATCGGAGAAAGGCTTGCGTGAGGTCAGGATAATGGTACTAATTTGTGTGTATGTGTGTGCTTGTCCCCTATCCGTCCCCTACTGGATTTGACACCACTGACCCACACATACTGCTGTGTCAACAATAGCAGCACATACACATACACACATCACAGAAGACAGCATCTCAGAAGACCCTAACAAGATAGTTTACAGAGAATGAGAGAAGAGGGAGGGAGGGCTGAAGAAAGGTTTTATCTATGTGGTACATCGCTGCTGCTTATGTTGATGTCAGGGATAAATGGGCTCAACATGAGCTGCATCAGTGAAATCCTCAGCAGTACACTGCAGCCAGTGACAGGTTCAGCCAGTCATTTCATCCATACGTTCATTAGCAGAGAACAGAAAAGCACTGAGCAATTCCCCCTGCAAACATTTATCCACCATGAGTAATTAAACAAAAGGTTGGTTAATGGAATGTGATGCGAAACCAAATGAGAACTCTAATCTTCCTCAGCCTATTGCTTGTAAAACAGTGAGACATTTTACCCCCTCAAGAGTATATCCTTCGTTCTTCTTTACAGCACAGGGAGAAAACCAGGGCAAAATGTTAGGGTTAGGGATATAAATAAAGTTGAGTTGACTTTCTATTATTGAAACTAGACAGAAGGCTGCCGATAGGGGTGTCAGGTCAGTTCAATGTGTCTTTCTAGAAGGCATGAACAAACAAAATGTATTTTATTGTCTGATATGGAGGACTGGTTTAAAATGTAGTGTGCCAGAGGCATTGCACATTAACAATATTACTAAAATTGTAAAGTTAGAAAATGATCACATGACAAAGCAGGTATTAACTCCACTTTTAGTTCTGTGTTTGGTTTTAATCACGCGCTGAACATCTAAATGGCCAGTTTAGTATTCAGTTGCACTAAGTTATGGGCTGTAGCAGTTTATGTCTGCCAATCCTGACAACGTGGCAGATTTTGTATGAAGCCTGTGAGATGGTACTGCCTTAGAGCCTCAGCTCAGGGCGCGATAGTCCTGTGTGTGTGCTGCTTAGACTCTCTGGATTGTACTTTACAGCTGTCACAGTGACTCACTGACAGCTACCTGGAGCTGTACCCCATGGGTGCCATTGTCAAACAGCTGTCTGTGTTAAAGCTCTCTCTCTCTCTCTTTCTCTCTCTCTCTCTCGCTCTCTTTCTTTCTCTCTGTGTGTGTGTGCGTGTGTGTGTGTGTTTGTAAGGAAATGCGAGAATGCGGAAATATCTGTCAGATCAGATGTCAACAAACAATAGTTTGCAAACACTCAATCATCACACAGACTACACAATCTCTTTGCCACACAGACAAACACAATTGGCACAAAACAGGGCTTATGGATGCTAAACAGCTTATCCATATACAGAGGTGAGTTTATAGTGTCTCCTCTGTGTTGCGTTATACCAGTGCTTGCCATAGTATCAGTGTGCTGTCCTAAACTGTCTAAATTGTTTTATTTTACTTTCCCTATTTGCTGCACACCATAATTAAAACATTAGCAGCAGAGATTTGAAAAGGGAATTTGTCTCCATTTGATGGATGCAGTTGTCTAGAGCTTGTTCTTTTTTGTTATTGAGAAGGGCCTCAGTAGTATTTTACTAATTCTGTCTATTACTGTTATGCTTAAAGTGCATATACTTTTGACTGATGTTGAAGTAATTCAACAAGGATCTTTCCTTAAACCTGAAATCCCTGGCTCTCATGTTCACAGCAGCAGGGTGGGATAGCAGTTCTTGATGAGTTTTTGTTCACCCCTACATCTGTTACCTGGTCTTGATGGGAAATGAAGAAGTAAAGGAAGTTCTGATGACAGTAGCTGTTCTTCAAGGTGCATTCAGACAGAATGTAAAGCAGAGGTGACATGACTGCGCACAAAATTGATGGAAAAGCAAGGGTTTGAGCAAGGTGGTAAGAACTGATGCAAAGACACATGAGCTGATGAGTGCATCAGCTAGACTGAAAATTAAGCACTCATCTCAAAGATGTATCACTTCACTTTGCAAAATGTACAGGGAGAGAGTCTAAGGTACAGTAATAGAAATGACTGGAGATCCTAGCAAGTATAAAACTCTGTAGCTGTAACACAAACATACACAGGCATACACACATAGAGTCAATCACAGAGTCAAACATCTAAATGCAGCTTTAGGCTGCTTATTGTTTAAACATTAAGCTTAAGTGGTATAGTTCATGTGTGTTATATACATATCATCTATTAAACATGCGGTGTGTGTGTGTGTGTGTGTGTGTGTGTGTGCGCGCGCACTCTCATGTTTGTCTATAAAGGTCCAGATGCGGTATTTCCTCACTTAAATGCAAACACTTTCCTTGTTTCACTCACATAAGGACTCCCACACACACAAACACATATACAAAAACACAACCAAAAGATGCATACACACAAACAAGCAACCCTTTCCTACACATTCCTTTCCACACACACACACTGACACACACACACACACACACACACACACAAACACACAAAGTGCTAACATTACATCTATCTGAATGACTTCCTTCCATTTTCACTGTGTTGTTATTGATTGTACTTAAACAACACCACTCCTGTCGGCTTGTACCAGGAAATTGGCTTCATATTGAAACTGTCACAGCAAGGGTGCGTTTCATTTTAGGCCCTGCGGGGCAAAGGGAACGTAGCACAAAGGGAATCAATCTTCATTCTATGACACCACCTTATTTCTGTACAGGTTTTTTTTTTTTTTAGGAGTTTTTCTGTTTTATAATAAGTACAGTCATTTTGTCAGTGGTTAAGACTGTCCTTCCACCAGATTCAAAAGTGTCACTGATCACACATCCTGCTTAAGTGCTTCAGAGAGACACTGGATTCCTGCCAGTTCTGTGGTGGCTGCTCTAGCTGATCCTGATCTCTGACCTCCTTGTGGAGGAGATTAAGCAAAATAGTAAGGAATGATAATGATTACGGAGTCAAAAAAGAAAAAAAACAAGATAGTGATCCTTGGTGTTATTGAAGAAAATTATAAATTTGTGACATGGAAATGTTTTACTTCAGGAACCAAGTGAACTGTGTCGAGTATGCAGTGTTTCAGTATTTCTTGACGATGTTAATGTTAATAAAATAAAAAATAAAAAAATAAAATTTAGGATTATTACAGTATAAATTAGACAAAGTTATAACCAGTTTAATACACACAAGAGCACATACGTTTATGTTGTTATTTTGCACCAACCTATCTCTGGTTGGACAAAATTACTTTTAGTAGTTTTGGATAGTCACTGACTGTGCATACTCCTAAAATTGAGGATGAAAACACATACCTGCCACTTTGACAAAGCTGTACAGGGAGATAACGTTACCCTGTAGTGGTTTCACCACTAGTAACATTATGGAGCATGAGTGGGAATCTGTTTTCATGAGTGAGAATCGGTTCTGTTTGTTGCATGAGGAGGGACATGCATGCACACAAGCAGGTGACATTATACGTGTTCTTGCCGATGGTTTCACAATATTCCACAGTTCTCCAGGTGATGGCTCACCACGAAATTCAGCAGTGCTAAGGCAGGGAATGAGACTGCTCGTGAGTAAATATGGATGCAAACCATACAGGTTTTTAAAAAATGTGAAATGCATTCAACATATTTGTTTGGCCTCAAGGATATAGACTGTGTGTTTTGGCGAATAACACTGAATGTAAACAGAAACCTTGTTTAAAAGAAAACTCAAGAGGGCACTTTTAATAAGCTGAACGTGAAGGCCTTTATACATATTTTTAATGCAACCTGCTACCAACATTTTTCATAATGTCTGAAAGCTGAAAAGTTAACAACTTTTTACCAAACCATTCTTTTTTTTGAAGATAGTTCAGTAATCACACAGTTAACTAGGAAGTGTCTCTAATGGCCAAGAAAAAAAACAAATGTTGCTTCTTTATGGCCAAATAAATGCAAAGTTTCCCACATATCAGCATTTCTGAGCCATTTTCACATTCAGTAGCACAGAAACTGAGATAAAGGAAAAGCCTGTCTTGAGTGTCTCATTATGCTTTGTTTCACAAAGTGAATTAGAGAACAACACAAATCCTCCAGATTTTAGATTACAATGATGATTCAAGATAGATTCCTTGCTGTGTAAAATACCCCCAGTTTACCTCCTCACATTATTGTGATTTCCTCCCTGTTCTTTAAACATCAAATTTCCAAGCTCTTGAGAAATCATTCTTAATCTATTTTCACATACCTGGCAGACCATGACTTTTTGTGAGTTGCCTGAGCCCATTTTTCACTTTGGCACATGTTCAATCACAAAGCAAAATATCAACTGGTTTACCAATTACAACTTTACCCCAAAATGTACTGCAGGCAGTAATACAGACCAATAACAATCATCTCAAATTGAACTGTGTAATGTATCTACTTGAGTTTAAAACCTGGTATCAAAAATAAAAAGCACACCAGTAAAGTTATTAATAATGTGCCTTCAGGTCTTGGTTTGACAATGTGCATACGTGTCCGGTTTTAAATAATAAAACTGGGTATAGGTGTTGTATAATTAGTATTCATGTGACCTCTCAGTGTGTACTTTGAACAGGTACCTTGACAACGTCCACGTCTGTAGAGCTGCAGGTGACTGAGTCATCCACCTCCCTCACCTGCCCGTCGGTCTCCACGGTAACCAGTTTGATGGGCACTGCGACGCGCCGACCTGTAAGAATGGCTGTGTTCACCACCTCTGTGTCCTACGGAGAGGAAGAAAGACAAAGAAAGTTTCTTAAACAAAAAAAAACACAATCTTGAAGGTTTTAGTTTCATCTTATATTACAGGTTGAATATTACCTTCATGTATAGATCAATTCAGACTGACTCACTGACTTTACCACTTTAACCACATTAAACATTATTTTCTGTGCTTTCTGTGATTTTGGTTGAAAAGTCTTTAACTTAAATAGGTTATTAGCAAGTCTGCAGAAAGTATTGAGGTTACAACACAGGCACCTGATAAACTAGCTTACTGTAAGTGACACCAACAAAAACAAAGGGATTTTATGATTTAATAAATTCATAGACAAATAAGCTATGTTCTATTTATCTTAAAGGGATTAAAAGGAAAACAATAACAAATTTGGGACCACCACAGTAGTATTTTTAAGATTGCCCATTTTATGTCATGTTGTGTTCTTTTATATCAGCAGGTAGATAGATAGGCTATTGTATTCAAAGTAGAGTAGCCTAGGTGGTAGTATTTAGCCATTATTCATGCACCTGCACTAATTTTAAATGCACCCTAAGTCATTTTGTTCTGGGACTGGGCCTGGCTTTATACAGTTAACCAAGGAGCAAAAGGTATTTAGATATAACATTTCCACTAATAAATGGTCATTTGATGTGACAATATTACTTTTTTGTTTAAAAACATTTAATTCTAATAAATGACTTGTTTACACTTAATTTAATTTAATTTAATTTAATCACTTTGAGGCACAGTACACTTCTTGTTACACATACAGTTAATACATCATAAATATTAGTGCTTATGTGCTGCTATTTGAGCTTTAGCAGGTCTCCACCCAAAGTGCATGAGACGGATGATATGATTGAATATGCTCAAAGATGCAGAAGGAGCGAAAGGAATAAACAAGTAACAGAGACCAGGGGAGAGTTTTAAAGGAGGAGAAAGATAAAAAAAGAGGTGATTATAAACCTCACGATTAATGTAATCAGCATGATTACATTTGATTAGATCCTTCCAACAAAAATAGCACAAACACACCACACACACACACATACCTCAGAGTGCTGTGTACCAACGTCAATCTTGATTATTTGGCATTGAGTTTCCAAGGGGGCATTTATTACCGCCAACACACACACAAAGCCTGATTACAGGGTATTTTGCTTGGTCCACTGTTTGGGAGTTTGTGTGTGAGTGCTATTTGACTCAATTCAGCTGTGCATACAGGATGCCAACAGAGAAGATGAAAAAAGAAAAACAGAATAAAGGTACTGCATTGTACATACAGTATTTCACTGTGTAGTTTCATAGTTTGGATTGAAATGGTTTTAATCCAAAATGGTGTGCACCTCAGGTAGACAATAATGCGTGTGTATATGTGTGTTCTTGTACGTCTGTCTTTGTGAGAACATTTACATTGTCAGATGGGCACATTATTGGAAAGTTAGGATATTTTGTCTGTTCCTCACATTTAGGCTTCAGACTTAGTTTAAGGGTTAAAGGTAGAACACTGTATATAAGTACAGTACTTGAGTAAATGTACTTTCCACAATTTTACATTGTATGGAAAAATAAGGAATATACATTATATTTACAGACACGGTTACACATGCTGCATATAAAAAACCTGCATAAATATGCAGAAACAGGAGGAAGACTAAGGGCAAACATATACAAAAGCACAAGAATATGCAAATAAAATGCAAGTATAAATAGCATATCAGGGCAAACATACACACTTAAAGACATACACACAGTCACAAACGCACATAACAAGAGGCTGATGCACACACTCTCACACTTGACACACACACACACAC